TGCTTTATAGGCCAAAATTATGTTAGTATTTTTAATCAAGATTTCATAAGGAAATAGACGAATACAAATTATTAAATATTAGATTAAGCGTATTTTAGCTATTTTGAAGAATTAATTTAGTTATAAATGTCTTTAAAGTCCATGAACATTTAATAGTAGATCAGCTTTTTAGTATCATTTGCAACATTAAGGAAAATATTTTTCCATCGTTTGGCAACAAACAGTTTGGGAGAACACTTACGCAACGCATCTTCTGGCTTCGAGGTGTAGGACATCTCAGTCAGGTTTCTCATTATGCGAGGGTGAACTAGAGAGCCCTCACCTCTACAGTCCGTGCTCCCTTCCAGATTCACCTTTTCATCACCCCCAACTCCGGAAACTGTCGTCGGATATCCAATTGCTTCAAAGGCGACCTCATAGCCTTGAAGTTCACCATGCATCTCACTTGGTGTATCCCACGACAGCTCAATCACCGGTCTGGTGCGATTAAAGCGATCAGTGCTGCGACGCAACTGGTTGATCTGTAGCGAGCGTGGCTCTGTGGGTACTCCAAGGCAGAAGGGTAAATCAAGTTGACAGGGACTTTGTTCAAGGGTTAAGTTTGTATAATATTGACGGCCAGTCACTACTGGTCCTAGCTTTTGCACAACAATAGGTGTGCCTAGCCATGTCGATGGGATTGTTGTAGTAAGAGCTAAGAGAACTAAAAGCATTTTTACCGAGATGATTCCTTATTGGAAAGGTTTGATAGAAACGACATTGAGCTGAATGGAACAAGGTTTATCAAAATCGAGAACTAATCATATGCGATCAAGGGAGGCGGAGTATCGCAAGGTACGAATAGCCTGTTGGTTGAGTGATTAAAATTTAACCATCACAGAGATTGTAATGATATTAATGAGCCTGATAGTGGATAGCATAATCAAGAAATCGGGATGTGAGGCAGGCATCTATAAAGCTGCCAGCGGAGTGTACACGTGCATAGACCATGTGGGTCAATGCTTAAGACAACATAAGTTAGCATCTCTTTGATTGACCAGTCTGACTGGTCGGCCAATCTGCCAATCTGCCAATCGGCCAATCGGCCAATCTACCAATCGGTTAAAAGCTGGCTTGAGTGGATAAATCAGCAGCATAATCGACACACTATCAAGTTGCTAAACCAACCAATTAGGGTTCGCGGATAACCTGTTCGATTTTTGAGTTAATGTGGGCGTTAACTTACTGGTTGATTGATGCTTATTTGCCCTTCGAATAGAAGGATAGGAAATTCTATTATGCATGTCTAAAGAATGCATTTCATATCTATAGGAAATGTAATGGTTAAAGGAAAGGCACAAAAATTCACATGCTACTACAGGGAATCTAATTAGGATAGGTAAAGAGGATATTTAAATATTCTGTAAAATTTGATTAATCATGGTAATGCTAAAAATTGTGAGATAATTATCTCTAATTTTTCTATGCCCATTATACTTTCCAACAACATTGGCTCTGAATTACTTGCCAGATAG